TTCTAGTTATCGTGTGCACAGACGGACGAACGGACGGACGGACGGACAGACAGTCACCGCTTAATCGATTTCTCTTTTCATTCTGATCATTTATGTATACATTTGTCTATATCTATCTCGATTCGTTTTGCCTGTTACAAACAACCGTTATGTGAACAAAGTTATAATACCCTTGTGCACAAGTGCGCTCGGGTATAATAAAAAATTGTAAAATCACCATTTCTACCTTGATAGAGAAAAATCACCCATCGGAACTTTTATTGACTAGCTATTGCCAGATGTGATTTGCATTCACAGCGAAATATCATGCGAGTAGAAATATTACCAACCACTGATATTGTGGCCTAGTTGTAGTATATTAGCGATTTTTAAATCACAGTGGTAAAATCACCGGTAGTGAAATATCGCCCATCTCTATAGCATATTCTTCATATCTTCATTACATATAAGACCATTATAAAACATTGTGTGTTATCCGGGACGGGACCACCCTTGAGGTAACACCTTTCCGATAAAAATTATCGAAAACGGTTCACGTGGTCCAAATTTATCTGGTAACATACATAAAGAAAAAAATAAAAATATATTCCGATGAAGTGAAAACCTTCCTTCTTTTTTTGAAGTGGGATAAAAGTGTTTTTTTTTTTGGTTTTAAATAGAGACACTGCGAAAAGAAACACCTTGCAGCAATATACGCTTTTTAATCCGAAAAAAGACATGCAACATACATACACACTTTTCTAGTTTCAATTTCATCTAAGTGTTGCTATTAACTCTTTAAACGCTAGTGTTACATATATGTACGCTCAAATTTCGTGGAGTAATTTTGTTGTTATTAAAATATTTATTACATAACAAAGATTCACGAGTGTTTCATATATGTTTCAGGTCCTACAGAGGTAGAAACTTTATATTATGGGTTTTTGAACATATCCTCTATTTTAGTGTCCTCCAACATTTGGTTCCTCTCAACTTCCTCTTTTGCTTTCGCGTTTAATGAGTTAAGGGCCTACAGTCGCGATTTCCTTGTGGTGCAACTATTTGGAGTCATGCTGCGTACTTACTGAGATACATAGGTAGCCATTATTTGCTCCTCAAGTTGTTAGCGAATACTAAACTATTTGCTCCCTCGCATTGCCGAAGGCACGCTACTCAGCCATACTTAGATATTCTTCATTGGCCTTATAGCCATTGCGTCATTGCCACAAGAAAATTCGGTCTACACTACCAGCGCTCCACCAACGAGTCAATCAGTCAATTGAGAAACGCGGTGGTGTATGGATGTGTCTGGATCTATTTTGCAGCGACGGTAAATTCAGCAAAAGACACAAAGCGCCACCAAATTCTTCCGGCTGTTTAAGGTGGCCGCGCGTGTAGTAGCGATGGCTGATTTTGTTCGAAGGTGTTACGGTGAATCCAATGAAAAGAGCATAGCGTGAACGAAAAATTGCACACATAAATATTTTGTATTTGTTTACAATTGAAAATTAAGAAAAAAAATACGTACTGATTAGATAAACGATCGTAAATGAGCATTGATTGGCCCAACGCGGTTGTGTTGTGTTAAGAATTTGTTATTGTTGGCGGCAGCATGGTGTATGTTATCTTAAAACAACACAGTTTTGAAATGAAGTGATCCTCAGGCGATCAATTATTGCCTGCTTACAAAATTTAAGTGCGTCTCTTTGTTTAAAATTTCTGAAAATCGCGACCGAAGAAAGCATATGTGAAGTGTAAACTACCTCTATAACATAAAAAAAAAGTTAAATAATTCCTCCCTTGTAATTATTTCACGCTGACATCTAGACCCACACCTCTCCCCCTCCATCGATTGCAGTTTAATGTCTTTGCTGGCACTGATTTTGCTATGCGTCGCTGGCAGTCACATCACAGGCGTTCTGGGCGTGCTTGAGGATAGCGCTGCAGCTGCGCGCCGTTTGGTCAGCGCGCCAATATGCTGCCCTTTGGGCTGGTCCCTTCTCAAGCTCAATATGGGCTTCTTTAGGCCCGAACTTTACGAGTGTCGTAATGTGTTTCATAACGGTGATGAAAAAAAGGTAAACGATAAAGAAACCGAAAATTCCATTGAGGTTTTCGAACGCACTGCGCCAGTCTATGGCTATCACATTCAGTCGCCCGAGCTAGACCAGGACGGTAATTTCACCGGTCAAGTGCCGCAATGTGCTCGGCAAACATTTCTCTTCCTAACAAGCGACAAGGAGGTGGAGTTGCCACCCAGCGCCTGCCTTACAAGTGTTGATCAACGACTTGCGGCCATTTTTTGTCCACCCGCGCGTGGCGAGGTGCTACAATCACTGAGCGTCGTGCACAAGTGTTGCCCGCTGCGTTACGTATACGACACAGCATCTCAGATGTGCATACAAAGTGTGGTCGAGCAGAGCTTTCAACGCTATGGCAGTTTGTTGCAACAGTGGGCCATCTTCGTGGATGGCGCGGTGCAATGTGAGCATGATATGGTGCTGGTTGAGTATCAGCTAAGTGGAAAAGAATTGAAATTCATCGACGGCAAATTAGCCATTGCCATTGGTAATGAGTGGAAAAAATTCCAGCTATCCGAATACTGCATGGAGACAATCGAAACGCTGCCGTTCGATGTGTATGATGTGGGCGAACAGCGCTTTTTAGTCCGTACTTGCCAACAGCGGCGCGTATGCCAGGGTATGGCATGCATTCGTCGCTGCTGTGAGGATGGTGAATTTTTTACAAAAGGCAATGCGACGTCATACTGCAAGCGCGACGAATCGGATGTGGGCTTCCATAGTTTCGAGAGCCTGCAAATAAGTGGAAACTTCACAAAACCTCCAGGTAGTTATACATAAATGTACATATTCGTACATATGTATGTAACTGTTAAATGTACACATGTACGAAGATCAGTCGTGTGATGTGTGATTTTGTGTGAGTGTGTGGAGCAGTAAAAAATTGATATCGTTTGGAGTAGTAAAACAACGTGCAAAAACAGTGACTCATTGTGTATATTGAGAAAAAAAATTGTTTACTCGAAAGAAAGTGATACATATTATTAGTTTGCTAATAAGTACCAGGTAACTGAGCTCTGCTGGTAGTCAAGGCGAATACATATAAGGTGGTATCGATTCAACAAATACAACAATTACTTGTATTTTGTTTTGCTTTTAGTGGGCCATTGTCAAATTTCAGCTATTCTTCCCCAAATGAAAAAGGGCGACAGAAAATACAAACACTCTCACGTTTTCACTCACTCACTAGCGAAATACAAAAATTTGACAATCAAATGCTACTCACAGCTGATGATACAACACCACCTTATATAAATTCGCCTTGGGAGTATACGCAATACATGGTGGAATTATACCAGGTGAAGTAATTAGATCGAGGAGAAAGATCTTGACACTGCCTTATTTTAAAATTTGCCTATAAAATTTGATTATTAGACAGCCGAATGTCAGAAAATAAAGAGAGAAAGCTGTATTACTACTTCACCTGTTTATTGCGCCATGGTGTGTATGTCTTTTAAAGTTTTTAAAAATTGAATAAAGACCAAGATTTAAGAATAAGATAATGGTCATTTAGATAACTTTAATTTACGAATATTTTAATATAGGTAACATTACTTATGGTGTTTATTATTTCATATCATTTGCTTGAGAAAACCGGCTTTGAAGTTTACAGTTTATCTATGCTCCTATAATAAAAATGAAGACACATTTTCTTGTAATGGGCTTCTATTCATCGATAATCCCCCCCGTTGGAAGGAAATATGCATACAAATTTCCCAAGTTTAAGATAATAATGGTAAAAAATATTTTAAAATCTCAACAATTTTTATTGAGCTTGAGGCCTTTTCTAATGGTTCATATCCCAATGACCGCGGTGAAGAAGTCTGATGAGGAGATGTGGTGATAGTAGCCATAACTTCGAAGTAAATTATTGTTATTTTTCCACAACATTTTTTCATTAGAAAGGGCCTGACGTTCAACAAAAATTGTTGAATATAATTACTAAAAAGCCATAAATAACAAAAACAAATTTTAAGATATCCGTAAAACTCTTTTAATAAAATAGTCTAATGGTGACAACATTGCTTTTCCTTGCAATTAGGAGAACGAAGGGCACATTATACGTTTTTGTTCTAAAAATGTTGTTTTTTTTTTAGATTTTTAAAGCTTATTAATTATTTATTTAAACGTACAAAATTAAAAAATTATACTAGCGAATATTGTGGCTTATATGTATAGTGTCAGCTACTGGTGCTAATAATTTTATAATAGTTTATTATTTTTATAACTTTTTGTACAATAACACTGTGAGACAAATGGTACGGGTCAGTGATCGGGAAGGGTTCAAACTACCGGGGAAAGTTATATCGGTAAAAAAGAAGTTATACGTGTCCCGGCGTTTCGCTGGGTCACGTCTAGGAATCGAGATATATCGATTTGAAGTTAGTAACTATCATATAGGGGAAATTGTCATCTTTGGTGGTCTTTTTTTTTGACATAACTCGAGAACCACTAGTCCGATTTTGCTCAAACAAATTTAAAAAAATTAAAACTTATAATTCCTTTAATCTGTTAGTATAACGTTTTTCTATATAATCAACAGTTTTGCCGGTAAAAATAAATGTATGAAGAAAAAAAATATTTTCTGCCTAAAATATTAAATTTTTTTATTTTTTAAATTCATAAAAAATCCAAAACGGAAAAAAAGGCAAGTTGTATTACTTTCACGCAAAGTCACATAACCTTTAAGCAAACTGAGACATAGATCATGAAAATCGATGGACGCGTTTCGCTTTTATTCACAATTAAGTGAAGGTATCTCATTTTGACAAGAATATTGATTTTATGTTCTAAAACACGACCACTCATAAATGTGGGTGCAATTTGTGTAAAAAAATCATGCAGGTAGCCAACGGAAAAAACCCAAATAATTAAAAAAGTGCACTTTCCTTTTTTCCTTTTAATTGTCCACGCACATTTATGACCGTTTTTTAGTTTGTTACCGCTACCATAAAAATCAAATANGAAACTTGGTATGTGCACTTCTTTCGGGCGTAGGACGGATGGTATTGAAAATGAGCAAAATCGGACAATAACCACGCCTACCTCCCATATAACGGTAATTTTCAGAAATACGAAAACTTCTATATTTTAGTTACTACTGAAGATTATTCACTCAAAATTGATATTTACCATAATTTTTAGGTGAAAAATAAGAATATTATAAATTTTTGGAAAATGAGTGTAGCCACGCCTACTTATGGATACATGTGTATATATTGGTAACCGCTGCACCAATTTCTTCCAAACTTGGCACAGTTGTTAGTCTTACTACAGCATACCAAATTTTAAAATCGTTTATGATTTTGGAAAATGGGCGTGGCACCGCCCACTTATGATCATATATATGTTTCTCGGTAACCGTTCTACCAATTTGCACCAAACTCGGTATGAATATTGTGCTTGCCACATAGAAGCAAAACATTGAAAATTATTGGAGTCAGATTAAAGTTACGACCACTTTTCATATAACCACTTCAATATTTCGAAATTTAAGGACGCTAATTTACTCAAAATTTATACACACCGGCTTACCATGTAGCGGTAGCTTTCGGAAAGGTGAAAATCATATACTTAGTACCTGCGCCGGGTATTTAATGTTCGGCTCCGCCCGAACTTAGACTTTTTTACTTGTTTCATTAAAAATAAAAAATAAAAACTGGAATGATCAATTAATTTGTTAGAAACTATTAAGGCCGGTCCACATAGAACTTTCGCGTTGGCTTTGGCGTTGGCGTTGGTTTGACAGAACGCACGTTAAAAGTATGCTTGCTACAATGAACGCTGGCAGCGAATGCTTGGGCCACTAAATTAACATACTAACGACAGATAAATTAATATTCCATATCAATAAATACATTCGAAACGATATTTCTTGCCCGCACTTGATTAAAAAGGAAAAATATTTCACATAATTTATTTTATTTGCAACAGCTGACGAGCGACGCACGCGAAAAGTTGAGAGTTGGCCATCTTTTTGCTTTGTGTTGGCGTAAGCGTTGTCGAATTTTGGCTTTGTGGACGGCTGCATTTGAATTCATATATTCATAGTCAGCTGTTTAAGCGACGCCAACGCCAACGCAACGCCAAAGCTCTATGTGGGCGGGCCTTTAGTCCTATCGGAAAGTGATGTATAAATGGTTTATGGAGAAGCATATTTCTGCTTGGGGAACGCGCCTCATAACGAATAAGGCACCCCAATATCTGTTTGAAAAATTTACGTTCCCCAAATCACCTCAAGTAATCGACTTGACTGATCCTACCAACAATTATCTCAGCTCTGCACAGCTATTACCTGTCAATGCTATCCGCATCTGGAACTCAATTCCATCTCATATTAACAGTGGTTTAAACAAAAGCAACTCTAAAAATATTCTGTGGGCGTATTTCCATTAGGTTCACTTAAGTCCCTGAGATGTGTTCTCTATGTACTTGTTTAATTAAGTCTTATTTTATGTATACATAACATACATATACATATGTTCTGGAAATGGACAACTCACTTAAAAATACTACTTTCCTTGTTACTTATCTAATGGTACGAGTGTCAGATGCTACCCGTAATGAAGGTATCCAATCAACACCCACACCTTTTTCCCACTAAACAACCATTGTATTTAACAGTGAAATTAATAGATCAAATCATGTGTCTAAGAAACTATTGTAATTAATTTTTGCGTCTTCTAAAATTACTCGTTATTAGTTTAAAAGCAGCGTTTATTTGCTATGTAAATAAATCTGCATATGTATGTATGTATGTGCATACAAATATTTATACCAAATGAGCAGCAACAGCCAACAATCAGCAACACTCAAATCGTTTATTATTCAAATTAGTTTTTATTGTTTACTCCATGATCTCGCTTACAAACATATATATGTACTATACAAATGTATGTTTCTATGTTTGTATGTAGATCTGTCTGTGTATTTTAAAAACACTTCTTCAAAATGTATTGTTAGTAAGTGCTTGTGGGCTGTTGCGGAATTTTCACACAATCTTGCATAAAAATATTTAATTCGTGTAAACAAAGAAAGAGAGAAAATTGTTACTTAGTTACAAAAAAAAATGTATCAACACATATTGAAGCATATGCTCCGCTGATGTCAGAGAACAGCTGGAAGATTGGCCGAAATGTTTATTAAGGGTGTTTCGGGTTGGGGAAAATTCATTAATTTCAATTATCATTAGTTTCGCCGCACGCCACTGCGATCTTAAGACCTATTGTGACCCTTACATAAATAGATTTATAGTGTATCTATTAATCCAGCAGTGTAGAAAAATTTTGGTGTTTATCCTATATCTCTGGCTTGTGAAAGGATCCCCAAGTGTCTTTTATATACATTGGCGCATCCTTGCCGGTGTCCTGCTAAAATGAGCCACGCAGTTTCGTTATGCGTCCAGCAGATCTCTATCGCTCATGCGATCAATCTGCAATGTCTTAAGTGAATTCATCAAGACGCACACAACAAATTGGAGGAGAAGCTCGGCCAAACACTTAGCAAAGTGTAAGCGCCAAAATATTATTATTGTTAAGCACGAGTAAGTACTATAATAAAATGGTATAACATTAGCAGACAGGCATATGGAATCACTTCAGCGAAAATTCACAGATCGTTGTTATTTGTTTAGATAAGTATGTACGAGTATGTTAAGCATGAGCCAACTTTCACATACAACTTAAATTTGCATGCGTAAGTGTAATGGTGGAAATATGTTTAGAAGCAATTTGATTTTTGAAATGGTTAAAATGTTTAGCTTGCTTT